GAGGAGAGGCACTCATAAGATGCAAAAAAAAATAATGATAAGAATAACATGCATCGATTAGACTATATGCAATCCAAAAACAAAAATACAAAAAGAAAGAGGTTGCACCTTATGTTAATATGATAAAGTTTTGGTAACGGTCTTACATGATACGCGCGAGATTGAGGAGGTCAATCTTTTTATCTATGCTATATATTAAGTAGAAGAAAGTTTTTAATTCTCAAGACTTGTGAAAGTTTCAATATGTCAATTTTAATTTTTTAATTTTTTTTAAAAAAAAATTAACCTCAGCATTTATTAACTTGGCTCAACCCACAATACTTTTTGACTTCTCTCATAATTACTGCAGTACCTTTTTCAAAACAAATAATTTGCATATTAAAAAAAATTTAAAACAAATATAAATATCTATATCTATATCTATATCTATCTATTTATTTATATCTATCTCTAACCCACAAGTTTTGTGGGAGTTCCAATATCTAAACCTTAATTTCTTAATTTTTTTGATTTTTTTTGAAAAAAAAAACTTAGCACTTATTAAATTCTTCCAAGTTTTTTTAACTTCTCCAATACACACACTCTTTTTAACTTTTCACATACTTATTGCAAACAGTGAGTCTCCTTTTTGTTTTCTCCTTCTTGACTTCTCACTTCTACACTTTCAACTTCAGTGACCATGTATGCAAACAGTAAGTCTTCTTTTTGCTTTCTCCTTTTTGAATTTTCCTTTTGTTTACTGTTTTAATATTGTAGTTAGATAATGCATAAAAATATTTGTGATTGAAGTTAGTTAAAAAATCAAATTATAATTTTTTTATTATAATTAGTTGAATAATTTTTTTTTTTTAAATGTGATTATGGTTAGTCTAATAGTTCTTTTTTTTTTCCATTTATTTATTTTATTATGTGAAAAATGTGATGTGATTGTAGTTTAGTTTAATAATTCTTTTTTTTTCATTTATTTATTTTATTATGTGAAAAATGTGATGTGATTGTAATTTGTTTAATAGCTCTTTTTTTTTTAATATGATTGTTGTAATTAGTTAAATTGTTTTTTTTAATGTTATTTAATCTTTTTATTTACTATTTTATTTTTATTTTTGATTTTTTAATATGATTGGAGTTAGATAAATATAAACCCTCACAAAGAGAAAAATGTAATTATAATTATTATAATTTTTTTATTATAATTAGTTGAATGATTCTTTTTTTTTTTTAATGTGATTGTAGTTAGTTTAATAGTTCTTTTTTTTCATTTATTTATTTTATTATGTAAAAAATGTGATGTGATTGTAGTTTGTTCAATGACTCTTTTTTTTAATATGATTGTTGTAGTTAGTTCAATGATTTTTTTTTAATGTTATTTAATCTTTTTATTTACTATTTTAATTTTATTTTTAATATGATTGAAGTTAGATAAACATAAACACTCACAAAGAAAAAAATGTGATTGTAGTTAGTTCAATGATTCTTTTTTTTTTAATGTGATTATAGTTAGTCAATGGTTTTTTTTTTTCATTTATTCATTTTTGGGTAAATTACTTGACACCCTCTGAGGTTTATATTTATTACAGTTCCCCCCTCACCTTTTGAAAAATACATTCCCTTCCCTGAGGTTTAAAGTTTCATTACAGATTGCCCACTCCTCACCGTAATGATCATCGTACATAAAATTAGATTAACAAGGGGTCAGTGTAATTTCCCAAATGTGATGGAGGAAACTATAATAAACATAAATCTCAGGAGGTGTTAGTGTAATTTACCCTTTATTTTTTTAATTATGGAAAAAAATATGATGTGATTGTAGTTTGTTCAATGGTTCTTTTTTTTTTAATGTGATTTAATTTTTTATTTATTGTTTTAATGGTTTTTCTTTTACAATTATTTATGAAAAAAATATGATTGTAGTTAGATAGTATAAAAATATTTGTGATTTGATTTGATTTTGTTTCTGATTTGATTTTTAAAGTACCAATTATTAATAATGATTAGATTGTATTTTGAAAAAAAAAATTGTAATTGATTTTTTTAACTCACTGTGTTTTTTTTAAAATGTCATTAATTGTTTCAGTGACAATTTGAAAATTTTATCTATACTATATATTAAGCAAAAGGGGGTTTTTAACCCCCAAGGCCTGTGGGAGTTTCAATATCACAATCTGAATTTTCTAAATTTTTTATTTAAAAAAAAAAAACTCAGCAGTTATTGATTTAGTTAAAATCCCCATATCAGCATTTATTAACTTTTTTCAATCCACATGTCTTTCCACATGCCTACATTTATTGATTTGGTCAAAATTTTCTAATCAGTATTTAAAATTCCCTCATACAAATAATTATAGATACAATCCATATATAGTTATTGCAGTACCCTTTTCAATTTCTCCCATACATTATGGTTAGTGATAAGATTGTTAAATTATTTTTATAAAAAATCTTAAAAAACATAATTTATATATTAAAAAAATCTAAAAAAAATATAAATATCTATAATTATCCCGTGCATAGCACGGATGATAGGCTAGTATATATTAAGAAAAATGGGGTTTCTAACCCCCCAAGTCTTGTGGGAGCTCCAATATCCTAATCTAAATTTCCTGATTTTTTATTTAAAAAAAAAATCTTACCATTTATTAACTTCTCCCAACCCCCAAGTATAAAAAAAATTCTTTAAAAAGTCCAACACGTATGAATTCCTTGAAAAGTTCCAACACATACGATTATTATCCCTCATGATAACACTTTAATACATTAAGAACAATCATAAAAAAAATTCTTTGAAAAGTCCAACACATATGAATTTCTTAAAAGTCTAACACATATGATTATTATCAAAATATTACACTTTAATATAATATAAAAAAAAGAAGACATTTAAAAAAAAAAAAAAGACATTTAAAAATCACAATTCACATATATAAAAATAATTGTGAAGTATATATGAATTCCTTGAAAAATCCAACACATGATTATTATCCTGCATAATAACATTTTAATACATTAAGAACAAGCATGAAAAAAATTCTTTGAAAAGTCCATCACATATAAATTCCTTGAAAAGTCCAACACATATGATTAGTATCAAAATATTAAATTTTAATAGAGTATAAAAAAAGAAAAAAAAAAATAAAGTGGTGAAACACAACCCGTATGCATAGCACGGGTGATATGCTAGTTCATATATGAAAAAAAACCAAGTTTGATATTTTTCACTTAATATGTGTGAACAAAATAATTCATATAAAATAGTGGAGTTTATATTTTTAAGTAGGATAATACACTTTTTAAATAAATGATTAGTTATTTTATATTACTCTAGATTCTGTATTTTTATTCATTTTAATAAAAACCTATACAATTATATTACAAAAAATAGAAACAATATACAAAATGGAACATAGATCTACGAATAAACAAAATTTTATAAAAACTTGTAGGTAGAAAGGGATTTTAAAATTACTCGATCTGATTTTATTTGTCCTAACCCGATTTTAATAAAAAAAAAGTTCGGGGTGAACTTTGATAAGTTAGGATAAAATACAAAGTATGCACGTAAAATTTATCAAGATTAAGATAAAATATGAAATTGTATCATTAAGATAGATGAGTTTAAAATCAAGAACTCGTGTGTGAAACTCAAAAAAAAAAATCCAACCCATTGTCATTTTAATCCACTCAATTTTATTTTTTATTTTTTTATTCATTTGTAAACAATGTGTGTCCAATTAGATGATATGTTTTCGGAGAATTATTCAAAGCTATATGAATGCATCTTTGTAGTGGATGAACATGACCATACTGATCACACTTCCATTTGGGGCCAATGTGAACAAAGAGAAATTCCAGTTGAAAGAGATTGGTAATAGCCAAAAACCGGAGTCAGACATTAATCTAATTGTTAATGAGACACTGGATGCTGCAATGAGCATTACACATTTTTGATTGAATAAACTGAAATCCAAGATATTACATGTATATAATAGTCAATCATGTGCCAGAAAATAGGACTTATTTAGTAGTAGTAGCTAAGGTGTATTTAACTCAAATTTTGGGTGGTTGTCACATTCAGAAAATAGGGTAAACATATACATATATATGGACTGAAATTTCAACACATCTCAAAATCAAGTCTTTTCTATCGCTTGTTTTAATTAATTAGTTATAGGCTTCATTGTCACCATTTCATGCCCCCTTACTATTTTTCAATGGTGTGAACTCAAATTTTTTATTTAAAAATTATTCAAAATTTCAATGTATGGCGTATATTTAAACTTAGGTATGGAGTGAGTCACATTTAAGATGAATTTAAACCACATATTCATTTACTTCTATTAATCCAAATATGCAATTTTCATTACCACAATGTAAAATTTTTATTAATTGATAATATCACTGGTATTTCAAATATTTAGGATTATTTTCATAAGTTAGTTAAAAGTTGACTTTTTAATTTTTTTTGAAAAATATTTAAAAAAATAAAGAGATAATCTAACCTAAAATATGTTAAAAGCTAAAATTATGACTTTTAACCATCTATCAAAAAAAAACATGCCACTAATTAGTTTCTCGTGGAGAGGTTATTGGACTCCAACAGACATTCAACTTTGAACTCAATTTTGTGACTTTTGTCAACTTCATGCACAATGGTAGGCCGACCCAATATGATGTTGAGAACTTTGCCATTTCACTGGGCTAGATTCATGGGCTTCAGCAATGGCCCAAAAATTTTAATTTTAATTTTATTTGTGCAAAACTTCAAAGTTTGATCGTGTAACAAATCAAAACTCAAATTTTCAAATCTCTCAAATCAATCCCATGGTCATTTGTTTGTGTTGAATTGGAAGACTATTTGTTGATTTGTAGCAGGAGGTGGAGCACACAGTGGTGGTGTTGGGGCGGTGGTGGAGTGGGAATGGGCCAATTCTTAAATTTCCCATTTTATTTTATTTTTTGTGGACAATAAAATTGTAGGTGAGAGACAAGAGAAGAGCATTGAATTGAAAAGTAGTATAATATCAATCCCTTCTTTTATGATCAATAAATATTACAATTACATAGAACAAATAAAATACACTCAATAAACAATTTGAACCTAAAAACTCAGACCATCATTTAGTTTTGTACCATGAACTAATTTAATTACTGAGGCTTAAAGAAGCTGACTTTAATACCAGTGTCAATCACAACATATACTCCAGCAGCGATCACTACCCCACTGAGACTTATTCCAACAATTCCTAATCCCCAGTTTACAAACCACATGGGGCTATAAACCTTGGGCTTCTTAATCTTAATCCACATAAAACACGGATAAGCGAAAGTCACCGGCAACGCGATCCCTCCGATAAGGCCGGCCACGCTTCCCAAGAAAGGGATTGCCACGGCGAAAAAGAAGCAGCCAAAGCCGAACATGGCTCGGAGGATTGCACGGAGCCACCACGTGCACGGTTTCTTCAATCGGGTGGTGAACTTGGACTCCATATCATCGAACATTGGCATGCCATAGATTTGGAAGGAGCTCACGGCATTGATTATGACAAAGATGCTTGTTAGTCCTAGGATGAACCGCGATGTATCTTTACCGTGAAATTGGAACAGAGCTGTTAGCATGCCTCCATCGGGTATCTGTATTCATATATACTATACATAATAAATTTTATATCTCATTCTCATAATACAATACAAGAATTCATTTATTTATTTTTAATTTTTTTTGGGGATAGAAAATTAGATAAAGCACATTCAATTTGAAAAGTAGGAGGAGGAAATTAAATTATACCTGGCGACCATAGGCCCAATAGCCACCAATTGCAATAGGGAATAAGCACATTGCAACCACAGCATATGCAAACTTCACACCCTTCCACATTGGCACACGTGATGGGTGCTTCTCACTTGAAGGCATGGTTGCCTGCACTCAACCAAATGTATCCAAAAATTAAAAATGTGTATTAAAAAATTAATGTATAATCTGCATTCATTTGGATTACACATTAATTTTTTTCTTTTTTTTTTTCTTTTTCTTACACAACATTTTTTGGTCATGGCACGTAGCATTATTGACATGTTTATAAATTACATGGTCTTGTTGAGGTGGGTGGTTGGGTAATTAAAGCTGGGGACTAAAACCATGGTGCATGGTCAAAATAATCCATCCAGCTTTTGCAACACTTGACTAGTACTAGAGTATATAATAAAAAATAATAAATGAATAGCTCCAAACCAAAATTCAACATCTTCGGCCCGTAAGTGTCATAAAACGTCAGACTCACACACTTAATAATCTCTGAGTATGATGCATTATATATTACAAAAATATATTAGTTCGGTCAAAACTCAACTTTCAAACTGGTGAGTTTTTTACATACAGTAAGTTGTATTACTAAATTTTTTAATTTTTTTAACAATCACAAAAAAAAAAAATATATATATATATATATCTAACTTTTTCACGTGAAATTGTTAGTAATGGTTGTGAAGTACAAGGCCATTGGCACATAAAATTCAAGTATTTTTGTCTGCGAAGACTTTGGAGTTACTTGCATGTTGATGACAGGTCCTTATTAACAGTGGAAGAAAAGTCATCATATGCCTCCAAAAAAGAGTATCCAAGTGTAGTTTGTTTAATTCAGTCGGGTCTCTGAATTTAATCGGATTTATATTAATAATTTAAATTATTTATATTTTAATAAAAAATCAAATTAATTTGATAAAATAAAATAAAATCAATAAAAGAGTTTAGGAACTTGATCAAACATAATTAAACTTCTCTTAGATAGCAGAAGAATCGATTCCTTATAACGTAAATTTAAATTTAATATAATATAAATTTTATCTAGAATAAATTTGATTAACAAATTTAAATTAATTTTGATTTCGATTTTGAATCTCAAGTTTGGCATTTTAAATTTTAATATTGCAACATTACTAAGAAGAAGCACAAGCATGGTATGCACAGTAAGTACCTGAATCTCAAGTGTGAGATTGTGGCCTCTGAAAGCAAAAGCAATGATCCCAATAGCATTGAGAAGATCAAAAGCGTTAACCATCTGAGAATGGGATCTCACAGGCTCGTACGACACGTTCGGAAGCCGACCCTTCGCCACCGACACCACCCATATGATTGTGCAATATCCGACGGCTGTGATTGCTCCGATCAGCGACACCCCAGCTATGGAGTTGAGGTTCGGCAGCTGAGACAGCAACACTGCGGCGCACGTGAATACTAGGTACCACTCCACGATCGTTAATGGCTTGAGCGAGCAGTTGGCCCCACATGCCAGCTGAAACAACGACCTCATCGTTGAACCTCCTATGATGATCAGAGCCACACACGTGCCCCCTGATAGGTACGCGATTGGAAACAGTGCCAGCAGCTTAGCCAGCTTGTCCCCTGAAATATTGGATCATAGAGGAGTTGTTCAATTGTTTTGAGGTAGACTCAGCTTATTAATTTATAAGTTGAACACATGGTTCTCTATTTTTTATTTTTTTTAATTGATTAAATATACAATACAGATCTAGAAAAATAATAATAATAATAATAATAATAATAATAATAATAATAATAATAATAAATGTTTTTGGTACAAAAGAGGACTAAACTCAAAGAGGGAGATGTGATCAGATTTCACATAGCATTACTAGAGATGATATAGTTCAATAAGTTAGAGATATGTAAAATTTTATTTTTATTTTATTTATTAATTGATAATACCATGATATTACAGTTGCACTCATGTAGTTATTTTGGTAGTTTTATTTATTTATTTAAGAAAAAATTAATTGTTAATAAAATTGATACTTTCGACAAATGTTAAAAAAAAAAAATTTTGTCATTGGAAAAAGTGGGTGGGAAATTTTTTTTTTAGGACAAAAATAGTGAAAAAGTAATTGTTTAAGCCATTGCCACAAAGAGAATCAACAACTTACCGAAAGTTGCACTGCTTATCTGCATGTATCTGCTATAGCGAATTCCAGTTTCAGTTGATTCATGGAGTTGCACCAACAAGTAGAGGGTGTAAAGTTGCCATACAAACCCTAATGTCAAAAGTATGATTCCCCATGTCCTGCAACCAAACAAACAACATTTATATACACAAGTTATTAAAAAGATTGGAGTAACCAGACCTAAACCCAAGTGGGTTCAGAGACTGAGGCCTCGCTTCGCAATTAAAAATTTTAGTTAAAAAGTCACTACATCACTCTCTCTATATTTACGTATTTCTTTTTATAAAAAATTAAAAAATTAATAAAATAGTCAATCTTCAAAGTTTAACTTACCATCCAAGAATGGTGAAAGCAACAGGAAGCACCAGGGCTTGAATTCCAATCCCAGAACACAAAGTATGAAAAGCAGCATAGTATGCGTTTCCATTTCTCGACTCAGTGATGGGAAGCCAAGCATCTTGTGGGTCGAGCTTGGTCATCTTGAGAGCTTTCCTGAGTGGGCTTCCCAACGGAGTAATGAACCGTGGGGTCCTGATCCTGGGGGTCTTGTTTGGGGTCTTGTTTGCGGTGGTTTCGGGATGGTCGGCGGTGGAGAGCAGCGGCGATCGAGACAGAGAAGGAGAGTGGAACTGAGAGGGTGGACATGATATGGGTGGTGTTGAGGCCATAGATGGCGGCCGAGGAGTTATGGGGGCGGACCTTACCTCGTCAACCTCACCCATTTTTTAGTTTTGTAGTTTGCAAGGTCTATCTCTAGCTCTAGTACTCTGGCAACTTCTATTTTCCCTCTCCTGCCTTTGGCCACACAAACAAGGCTTGGAAGTATAGGCCTATATATAGGAGTTGCATGTACTGTGGTGTATGGTGCTTTCATGTGCTCAAAAAAGATGTTGGATTAGCTTGACCGACTCAATTGTTCATACTCATTGGGGGCGAAGTTATTGGTTGGTTGGTCCAGGCCACGTCATGTGTTGCTATATATGTAACAGTAATGATAGACTATTAAAAAATATCATCACTAATAGCTCTAATGAGTTAGAAAATATAAAAAATAAAAGAAAAAAAAAACACAAGAAACAACCATCACATCAAATGGAGAGACACCTCATTAGTACTCCTCTAGTGGTCCCTTTTTAGTGCTCCCAAGCATTAATCTATTTGTAATTGGTAAAAAATGTGAGACTTCAAATTTTATATTAAGTGATTAAAGAATATGAAAGGGACTTGAAGGTTTGTGATTGGCTTGAGATATGGTCATGTGGTGTCCTAGGATCAATCAATAATTTTTTCTCATTGAGGGTTTATATTTTAGTTGTTGTTTTTTTGATAAATTACAAATATATTTTTTGAAATTTGTTTAAAATATAAATTGTTCCCTATAATTTTGAAAATTACATCTCACCCATTCAAAATTTTAATTGTATAACAAATTATCTTTTTTATTAATAAATTATTAAATCAATTAACAGTTTTTAATGATATAATAAATATATTTCGATTAATAATTCAAGTAATTTTATTATTGTATAAGAAAATAGTTAAGAATTTTATTTTTTCTGGTAATTTTGTTAAATAAAAAATTATGAAATATTTGTAATTTTCCAAACCAAATGGAGTAATTTGTATTTTAAGTAAATCTCAAAAGGTCTATTTAGAATTTATTTTTTACTTTTAAATTTTTTCTGAACAGATTAATCACGCCAAAAAATGAGGTGGATCAGGCATCCATAATCACTTGATCAGATCATATTTGTCTAAAAAATAAACTATCTGTTAATTATTTTTTAAACGAATATGACCGATCAAATAGCTAATAATATCCATTCAATCTGATTGTTGGCGTAGATAGTTTGCTCGACGAATTTTACAAAATGATCAGTGGATTGGTGATCTAGTTGGCCAAGCACAGTAAAGATATGTATGCAAAATTTATGCACAAAAATATGTCTAGAAGATTACTATGTGGTTTAAATTTAAATTTTATGTAGTAAAACTCACGTCTTAAATTAATTTTTGGGCAAACTTTATTTTAGTTCTTGTGGTTTGGGTCATATATAATTTACCCCCTTAATGTTTGAAAATGACCACATAACCTCCACCTAGTTTGTGGACTAAAGTGTATTGTTAGATCCATTAACGACTTAATGAAAAAGATTAAAATAACCCTGTATATAAGTAACTTAAGCGTGTGAATTATGAATATTTTCGTCATTTGTTTAGAAGACAAAACACTTCAACTCCCTGTGCTCTATTCTATATGCAATTTACTCCTTTAAAATTTGAAAATAAACATATAACCCTTTTATGTCTGTCACGTATTTCACACTTATTGTTAAGTTGATAAAATGTTTAACAATACACTTTAGTCCACAAATCACATAGGAATTATATAGTCATTTCTAAACGTAATAGGAGTAAACCCTACATAGCCCAAATATAGGTAGTAAAATGAAATTTATCCTTAATTTAAATTATACATTAAGGCACTATTTGGCATCTCCTATATTAGCATAATTTTTTATCTTTTTATTAACCCACATCACTTCTCTATTTTTTTATATATCTTTTTGTAAAAATTAAAAATATATATTTATTTAGGTCATTTTAAATTTCTTTTAAATATTATAAATATATATATATATATGTGTGTGTATAAATTGTGTCAAACGTAACATTGCTAAAAAAGAGGCAGCGGGAACAAAAGGGGAGGTTGTTAGAGTAGTAGTCGTATGTATGCTGACCAAGATTTCGCAGACAATTTGGAACCACCGGCACTGAATAGAGAAAAATATATTAAAGAAATGGGCCTAAAATAAAAGCAAGTGGGCTTGTTGACGAGCCAGGTTGGCCATTGGCTGCTGTAATCTTCTTCCTGTATGTTGAATGTGTATTATTATAATATCTTAAATTTGAGAGCACCCTTTTGAAGACTTAAGGTGGTTGATCATCTTTATTTCAACCGTAAATTATAAAGTATAGTTCAACCTTATCTTTTAATATTGGCTTGACTTAGACTTGTGTTTTTCCATTTTTTTCTTTTTTTTTTTTTTTAATTTGGGAGGAATTACGTCGTTAATTTTTATAATTTGTTTTTTATGTCAATTTAGATTATATATAATTTTAATTAACTTAATTTTACCAATGATTTATCATTTTATTTTAATTTGATTCAATAGATCTCATTAGAGTTTTCGATAAAAATCACACATGTGAACAGTATATATCATATTTTTAGAGCAAAATTATAACTTTTCTCATATCTCTATCCAACTCAATGAGTTAACTTTAGTTAGGATTTACAGAAAATTATTGTACTTACCTTGATAAAAGTGGTTCAACATGGAAAATTAATGGCAATGTGAATAGTGGGGATGGGCGTAATTTCTTTGAATAGTCTGAAGATTCATTAAGTTTAATATATAACACCACACTTTAGTGTCCAATGAGTCAAAGAAGTTAGAAACAAAATGAAATTTAAGCATTAAAATACACACACAACAATTAGGATCACCAGTGCATGCTTTTGATTTTCATGTTGATGTAGAGCTTTATTATTCTTTTTGACTTTGTGAAAATTAAGAACAGAGAAAAATAGTTCAATTCAAATATGGCCAGCTCAAGCACCTATACGCAAGCAGATAGAAGGAATTAATGGTAATTAAATAAATATTTTTAAAAAAAAAAGAAGAGAAGAAAAGTAAATAAATAAAGAGAAGAAAAAAGAACCTCCATAATTGACTGATCATCTCACTGAAAAAATCAACCATTTTATCTAATATAGTAACATTGTTTGAATTTTTGGTGTTATGCAATTCACAGAGTCATAGTTGGCTCGTTTGTTTATAATTTATAAAAATTTTATATAAAAACTTGTTTGGTAGCTGTTTTGTTTTTTAAAATTATAAATAATTTATAAAATTTATTAATTTATTGTAACTAAAAGAAAATTTTACTTGTTTAGATTATTAAATTTCATTTAGTTTTCCTTCTCACACCCTCTTCAACGAGTACCCATCACCACCAACGGCTAGGGCTGGGCAAGAAATTTGTATAATTTATAATTTGATAGCTCCTCTGAGCTAACTCCTCCGGACGGTGTTCCTCTCATGATCACTCATGCTCTCAAGCTCCTCTGAGCTAACTCATGCTCCTCTGAGCTGACTCACAGTGGGTCGTCGCATCGCGACTTCCTCCTCCACTCGAGTTGTCGACGCCCTCGTCGACTCAATGCAAACCAACAGTTGCTCCTCAAAATTATAGCTCAAAGCCCTCCGGCAAGCTCAAAGCCCTCTGGCTGATATCTTCAATACACTGAAGTATCTCTATATTGTGCCCTCTGGCGAAATGAAAGCCCTCTGGCTGCTGCTCATAAGCAAGCTCATGCCTCTGAAGCCTTCTGGCTGATGCCCTCTAGCAAACTCAATCTCTGAAGCCCTCTTGGCTATTGCTCTCTAGCAAACTTTAAAACCCTTTAGCTGAAGCCCTCTGGCAAATTGTAGCCCTCTGGCCAATGCATTCTTTGCAAACTCAAATTTTCTCATGCTCTCTAGCAAAATGAAGCCCTCTGGCTTAACTCAAACTCATTCCCTCTGGCAATGGGTAGCCCTCTTGCTCCCAACTTATCTCTTCTGGCTAGAATTTAACTCATGCTGCCCAGTACCTCAGCCACTGCCTTCACCCGAGTCAGTTATCTCATCAAGCTCAAAGATTTCGCCTTTCAAAGGCTCACCGCTCCTGCCACCCACAAAGCTAGCCATTTCAACAATGCTGCTCAAAATGGTGCGCTGATCCTGGCACCAAATTATGTCTTGACTTTGCAATCCCGCTACACGATTGTTCTCCAACAACGGTGATTTCATCCATCACCCCGCTCTCTAGCAAGCATGTACACTCGGTGCCTCTGCACACGGGAGTCAAGATCTCAAATTTTTGTCTTGAAAATTTTCCGAACAAACCCTCTAAGAGTCAACAACCATGTGTCTGAAGATGCAAAACCACTGACAAGCACAAGTTGCAAATGCCACCACGAACGGTCGAAACATAGGCCCCCTGAAGTGAACCAGTGATAATGTCATAGCACGTGCACGGCTGCCAACGAAAATTCGTCTCTAAGGCTCAATAACTGAAGATCACATGCCCACAATCTGATACAAGCATTCCACAAGTCCAAACTGCGGTAGAAATCCCCATATAGCTAACAAAGGAACACAATCATGCCAACCCTGCTGGTTAGGAAGCAACCTGTCCACAAATATAGCATACTCGCGCCACAGTGTGCCCACAGTGTAGAAATGCTCACCAAGTCCACAAAGTGAGAGGGAAACACCAAGTTAGCAAGGAAACACTAGATGCCACAATGCTGCTCAATTCGTACCCTCGAGAACGGTTGTTGCGTTTAAGGCATCGCTGAAGAATAGCACAATAGGCACGGATGCCCCAAGACATCACTAATCAGCTCCCACAGTTCAAACATGACTAGAAAACCAACGGCAGTCTTGTTTAGAGTCTAGGATGTCATACACGTCCCCCAGGATGAGTTTCATGCATAACTCCTTCAAACAGCTGCATCGGGGTCCACGGAAGAATGATATCACAAGATAGTTGCATGTCCGCTCTAGATCGAGCTCACCCCAAATGAGTGATCTAGCTCTGATACCAATTGTCACAGGCCGACTCCTTTAGAGGCACAGCGGATCAATTTTTGCTGTGTGGCGCTCAAACTCCACCAAGTTTAAGCCCGCCATAGCTCGTTGACAAATCGAGTGTTAATGATCTCACCCGTTTGAAAAGTAGGCCCCAATGCTTTGTCAAGCAAAACAACTTCACAAGGAAGCTCCATCTCCACCCGGATGCCACAAGTAGGCCTGACGCCTCAAATGCACCAAGCACGGCATAAGTCGCTTCATAGCGCCAAGCTTATCTCAAGCAAGATGCTCGCCCAACTTAGGTTCATGTCATCAAGGTGCCTAGCCACACAACAATGTGCTAGCAAAGGTCCTCAACTTAGTCGACAAGCCAACGTTGCATGTTGGGTCTTTAATAGCCTCTCGAAGTGTCATAGGGTCAAGCATGCCTCAATAGATGCATATTGGATGGCCACTTGGTCATGCATGGCCCACAAGCCACCGAGGGTTAATCTCTTGCCCACGGCGTAGTCCTCGTGCCAACACGTGTGCTAGATTCCGCCTAAGGCCATTGCGCACCTTAGCGTTGCACCAACGTGTAGCATAAGTAAGGCAACATCTCAATCCGTAGCTTGCTCGTAGCATAATGTAGTCCCTTAATAGATGTAGTCATTGCATAGCTTGATGCATTCATTCGATAGCTCACATATGCGGTGTTGCCTTCCAACCGCTTATCTTAAGCCACGAGATCCCCTCGTGCGAGGTTGAACCCAAACCAAGCACTAGAGTTGGCACACGAGGCCTTTAGTGGTGCCTCGATAGCCCATTCGGTCCAAGACAAGTCCCAAAGATACCATATTGCGTGGCATAATGGAAACAACATAGTGGACCTCTCACCCGGGAGGGTCGCGCAGTGCCTACATCATTGCATCGTCCACGGGGTTCCCAAAGCCACATGGAGACTCTAGACACCCCTCTGGATGCCTAAAACCCGCCTTTGAGTTACCCCAAGGTTGCTCACTTCAAGCCCAGTTTGGGCGAGGAGGTAGGTAGGTAGCACACCATACCCCCTTATATATGCTTGTTAAGCAATTTTCCATCTGGCAGGAGGAAACATCATACATGTCCGAGGAGTCATAATGACTGGTTGGCTATTGGCATGGACTGCGGCTTTGCCGTTTGCTGGCTATTAGAGGCTTACATGCCTTGGGCTACTTGGGGCCAAAGTTAGGCCACGTTGGGGCACTTCCAACGGCCACTCTTGAGCACTCAAATGGCCACACCACCGCGAGCGAAACGTCACGGAGTTAGCCTTGCAAGGCAACCCGTGACACGTTTGGATTGATTTTTTGAATGTGGTTTGGTTCCAGATTAGAAATTTAAAAATCCATAGGCCACAGGTCAGTTCTGGATTGAATCTCACGGTTTAGAATTGGAACCGATCCGGACCGTATACAAATAGTCTATATTTATACTATAGACCCTCCCACATAATATTATTTCTTATTCCATATAAAAACTAAACCAGTTTTCTTATTACTTTTATTTGATGTTATGTTTAGTTTTAATACAGAGGAGAACTTTACTTTGTGTAATGTGTATCCAGTTTTATTGCTTTTGTTTGATACTTTTGTTTGATGCTATATTTATGTTTTTATGAAATTAAAATATTCTATATTTTTTTTGTTATTTAATTATGTGAATCCGTGGTCCTAAACCGATTCAATCCGTATTTAAACGGATTGGTTCCACGATTTAAGCAGATTGGATTGGTTCTAATTTTTCAGGAACCGTAGATAACTGTGTTTAAATGGATTGGTTCTACGATTTAAACGGATTGAATTGGTCCTAATTTTATCCCAATCCGGACCATACTCACCCCTACCCCTACCGATGGCTACCACATTTGACCACACCCCACCTCCAACTACCATCATCCGTGATCTTTAGCCACCGTCATCAACAATCTCTTTCGGCAACCGCAACCTCCCACGGCTGACAATCACCTTCTACCGTTAACAACCTTTGATCACCACCCTCTGCAGCCACCCCCTCTCACTTATTTTCATACAGATTTTTAAACACAAGTGAGTATTATACATGTTTTTTGTTTTAGTTTTTTTTTTCAAAAAATTAAAAGAAAAAACATATTTAATTTTTTTGTTATAATAAGCTGTAAATGTTACAAAACGATACATGTGGTCAAGTTTTAATCTGTGCCTATGATTGCTATACCGAATACTGATTTCTATTTTACATTCTAAGAGCATCTCCAACGGTAATAGGCATTTTACCTATTTAAATATTACTATAAAGTATACATTTTATTTTGCCTATCAACTGTTTCATATTTCTGCTCCAACCATGCTCTTTATTTTAACTATTCATCCAAATACTATTAATTTTATAAAATGCCACATCAGCAACAAAGATGGAGGGAAATAATCCTAATGATTAAATACATTTTGCCTAGCCTTGAAGGCTAGCTACATGTAGCTAGTGAATTTGAGTTGAGCTAAAATGCCTAATTACATGCCTAGTGCATTGGAGTTGAAAAAAGTGAGTCATACTAGACATTTTACCTAACAAGCATTATATGCCTAGTGCATTGGAGATACAAGAAAAATCTTACCAAATTGGTAGAATGAAATCATAGACTAGCTGCCGTGACATGAGTCTATGTCATAATTTTTTTGGTATAAAGTCTATGTCATTTAGTTATATGATGCAATCAACACGTTTTGATTTCGTAGCTTTCAATTATTTACAATAAAACAATGAATTTTTCGTATGAAGGAATTCACAAAAAAAAAAAAAAAAAAAAAGTTAAAGTAAAGCATAACTCATGCTACTTATGTGTGCAATTTTAAAAAAAAAAAAAAAAAAAAAAAGAGTTAACGTGTGCTGGCGGCTATCTGTGGACTAATTATCCTCTTGTTGACCAGCAATTACATATATCCATGATATTTAGATTGCTTAATGTAATTAGTTGGTGTGATGTTATGTACTGAAAGAGAGGTGTTGACCATAAACTCTTCAATATGAGAAGTTACATATATGCAAAACACAAAACCTCTCAAGACAAAAATATTTTCTATATGAAAATAGATTAAATTCAATCAGATTTACTGGATAAATTTCTTATTTAGAGTCCACTATTGATGAGTTGCCACATCAACTAAAATCTACAGAAATATAGGAATGGGGTAGTAACACATCAGCTAAATGACCCACAATAAGTTATTTTAAAGAGTTTGCTTGTAATAAAATGGCCAAAGAGTTGCTTGAAACGACTTGATTTGATTAACATAGTCAACAGGTTTTAAACTGATTGATTTCAGTAACATGACTAACAAGTTATTTTAAACGGTTTGATTTGAATAAAATGATCAAAAGGTTATTTTAAAACCACGTGCTTTGATTAAAATGGCCAACAGATTATTTGAAACAATTCAGTTTGGTTAAAATGATCAAAAAGTCATTTTAAAGTACTTGATTTTAATTAAAATGATCAATGGGTTATGTTAATTCACTTGATTCGAGTAAAATGATTGAATGTTGTTTCAAACTGTATGCTTTGAATAAAATAGTCAAACAATTATTTTAAATTACTTGGTTTGATTAAAATGGTGAAGGGGTTATGTTAAACTCTTTAGTTTGAGAAAAATGATCCACATCTTATTTTAAATGTTTGCTCTTGGAAAAATTGTCAAAGAGTTATTTTAATTTTAACAATTTTTGTCCCAAAGTAAAAGCAAAAAAAAAAGTCAAAATCTTCATACTACAATAATATCGTGGACCATTTACAAAATCTCTATGATGAATATGGATCTAGAAGCCACAGACTAGTAATTGCTGACAAAGATTTTCTTGATGAAGAGAGCATGACATTGAGCATCTGCTATTTGCTATAGACATGAGCAGAGCTTTCTGTATCTCTTTTGTTGCGTGGCGTTGGAGTAAAGAGATCACATAGTCCGTGAAAATCGCCTCACATGGCAATGTAATAGGTCCATCACTTGGTAGTCCAAACTCTTCTTCAGACAATTTCAGTAGTTCTCTGAAAATGTCACTGTTAAGATACACTATTGGGAAAACAAAGCGCCTTTGATCGGCTGTGTACACAACAAAATGGCCCTTATTGACATCCCCATTGGCTCTTGGTAGTGAAATTCTTTTCCTTCTCATCGCGGCCACTTTCTTCCACTTTCTTGCCATGCTGAGGAGTTTCTTGGGATTGATCATATTGTGTTGATTTATGAATCAGAGAAATAAGAAGAGATTGAGAGCTTGAAACAATGAAATAGTGTGTTGTGTTGTGCTGAGTTGAAGATAATGGAAGTGGGTTAGCTATATATATTTACAATAGCAAAGACACTACTTTTGAAGGTAGCTTTCAGTGTTGGGATCAATGGATTCAAGAGCATGTGCAGAGTTGGGTGAAGAGGATGGTTGGATAGTGTGTCCTGTGGCCATGTTCAATTCTGTTTCGAAATCACAAGCCCTGGTGGGTCTGAAAGCTGGTGATTTTCTTGATTGCAAGTCCTGAGAACCACACAAATAAAGCTAAGAAATTGATTGAATTGCTGGAGTGTATATCTCTTTCTAACCACTTTCATGAATATTTATGAAGACATAGCTTGGCCATTAGATGAGAGCGAAAAATTTGGCAGGCATTGAGCATTTGCAATGCAATGGATAATGTCGAACACAACATGTGGGCATGAGCCTACCAAACAGGAGAGAAATATGTGACTGGAAGTAGATGAGGCTGTGGCCCTTAAGAGATATAAAGACCGTCAAACTTTTTTTTTTTTACCAAATACAAGTTATTTTGAGACAAAATTCTCAAAAAAACCAAGCAATTTTAAACTTATTTTTCGAACCCAAGTTGTTTCATGAAGTTGTGTTTTCAAAATTTTACAACAAATTAGTTTGAGTTTATGAATTTTTTTAAAAAAAGCCTAGGTTTGGTAAAAAAAAAATCATAGGAAAATCAAGTGATGCAGATTACTTTAAATGGTTAAGGAAAATCACTGAGATTGCCTTCTGATGTATAAGATTAGTTCTGGAAGAAGAATTTTAACATTTTTCAGAGAACTGTTTTGGAAAATAATTTCATTTAGTTGACATGGATAAATTGCTGTTTGATTATTTATGGAGTTGAACCCAAAAATATACGAACAAAAATGGAGAAAGATTTTAAAATTACTGAATTAGAAATGTCCTCTGTCCTGAGAAATTCCATTAGATGCTGTCCAAAATCAAGCTTCTCATATGTTAAGTACACCATTTTCAATGGAACAAGAACCAACATGAACATAAACTCTTGTGAAATTTCATTAATTGTATCAAGCTAACTACATTGTTTATCATTGACAAAACTGAAGTACAATTGACATCATTAGCTGCAGACTGCTAATTTTTTATTGCATTGTTCTTGTTGGAGACACGAGGATGATAAGCACCGCCCAGTAGCAATGGACATGAGCAATATTTTTTCTAGATCCTTAGCAGCATGCCTTCTTATCAAAGAGACTGCATACTGCATAAAGACTGCATCACATGGCAGTGTGATAGGCCCATGACTCGGCAGTCCATACTCTTCCTCTGCCATTTTTAGGAGCTCCTTGAAAATTCCCGTGTCGAGGTAGGCCAAGGGAATCACAAAGCGTCTCTGGTCAGCAGTGTACACAGCAAAGTGACCCTTTTGAACTGTTGATGTGTTGCAATTGTCTGCATCATCAACACCCCTTGTGGTTCTCGGAAAGATGATTCTTTTCTGACTGATAGCAGCCACCTTTTGCCACTTCCTCGCCATTTTGATGAGCTTCTTTGAACTGATCATGCTTGTGTTTTTCTTGTGAAATGCTAGAAAGGGTATATTTTGTTGATTTGGTTCTTAGAAGAGTGAAATGTTGTGTATCTGTGCTTGATTGGAAGTGAAGGAAGTGGGATAGGTTTATATTCAAAGCAAAGCCATGTGATAGTTGGATGAGGAGCAATTTGGGAGGTGGGCATGTTTGGTTGTGTTTGGCAATCAACACATCAAAGTGGAACATATCTACGCCAAATTTCACTCTGTCAAGTGGTTAAACAACATATTGGGTCCAAAACTGGTGGTGTCTTGTGAACACAGGTGACTCTATGAACCACATAGAACAAAGATACACTTAGAACCACAGAAATCTGAATTTTCTGATATAATTGTTTTCACTAGAATATAGTGGAGAGATTGAAAAGTTGGTGGTAGAATTTCTGTACTTAAAATGTAGGCAAAAGACAAAACAAGCTTGACTCATCATGTCCAAGAACTATGGGCAAGAACCGTGTTATACGGACTTGTAAAATCCTACACCTTCACATGATGATGGTGCAATATTCAATGTCCACATTAACATCTCATTGCACCGAAAAAATTGATGTTGCTATGAATGGTTGTGGTGAGAGAGTAGCTTAGGCTGTATAGAGGATGCAAAATCAGACAGCTGGTAATCTGGTCTTTTGTGAGGATAGATGAGTGGTGTCCCGTGGTTGTCTCTACTGGTGGATGGTATGCCCTCTTTGGCATATATTTAATTTATTTACAGTGAAAATAAATAAATAAATAAAAAGATTCAGTGAGAAAATCATACATGACTACATTGAGATTGTTGAAGTATTGTAAACTTGTAGGCCATTATATAGATCATCTCTGGTATTGGTCCAAAGTCAAGGGTGTTGTAATGCATAATTTGGATAAAGATATGTGTGGAAGTGGATATAGAATATTCCTTCAATCCAAACAAGTTGTTGGAAAATCACTCCTGTTGTGACCTGAAATAAGAATAAACCTCCGGATGGTGGTGCCGGAATAAACACTCCGACGGTCTAATTAATTTCAATAGAAGGGCTATTTTCTAATTTCTTGTGATTTAAGGTTTCTTTGCACATGCCTTCTTTTTGGACTTCCTCTCCTTTTTATATTGTTTATTCTTCTTGATCTTTTCTCCAGCTTAGCCTTTCATCATTACTCTGTCAGACTCATCTCCCTATAATATTTTTATTGAAAGATTTTATAAGAGATGAGCCATCCGGGTTCGTCTAACCTGATAGACTCGGCTCAACCTTGCAGCTCAGATATCATCAATACGGCACTCTCCATACTTACTGTGTGTACTCGGCAATGGTCCAGCATTTGATGGGCTTGGGCTTTGTTTGGCCCACAATTACTCAACTCCCACAAGATCTAACCTTTAACATCATACGCACAAAGTGGCTTCTCTTAGACACAACCAACCCCCTTAGGAATATTACAGCCTGAGAATTTACCATTGCATCAAGAAGTCACCCTTTATTACAAAAAAAATTAAAAATTAAAAATTAAAAAAAAAGAAAGAAAAAAAAAAAAGTGGCATGATGTTGCTGCAATAATTCTTCTAGATTCAACAAGATATGTGATGTGTAGGATACTAAGCTAGCAGAAGAAGAATTTATCAATTTTCAGAGACCTGTATTTGAATAAAATGTCATTTAGTTGATAATGGGGAAGTTATAGAAGGATTATTCATGGAGTTGAACCAAATATGCTGAACAAAATGGAGTTAGTTTTTTAGATTACAGAACTAGACACAGATATCTACTGTTCCTGTAAATTCTGTTAGATGCTATCATCAAACACATTCATCACATACACAAATAAGTAACCATTTTCTCAGTAGAACAAGAATCAAACATGAAGAAAGTCCTTGGCAGATTTCATTAATTTGTTGTATCAAGCTAATTACATTGTTTCTCATTTACTCAACTAAAACATAATTCACATCAGAAGCTGGAGACTAGTAATTGTTGACGGTTTAGTCCCTCTTGGAGATACGAGGATGACAAGCAACGACCACTAGTTATGGACGTGAGCAGCTCTCTCTCCAGTTCCTTAGCTGTACGCCTTCTTATCAAAGAGACTGCATAGTCCATGAAGACTGCATCACATGGTAATGTGATAGGCCCATCTCTAGGAAGCCCATACTCTTCCTCTGCCATTTTTAAGAGCTCTCTGAAGATGTCATTGTTGAGATTGTTAATATATTATTATATGTTAGTATTGTTAGTATATCAGTAAGTATGTTTAGTATATCATTATGTTTAGATTTAATAATTATACGTAGCTTTAATAATTATATGTCCCCCCTTGCTTTATACTTTCGGTGCCAAATGGCATCTTATGATTGCCTCTCCTCTCTATAAAGAGAGTGTACATTTCTTTGTAAACATACACAACATAATAGAAACAATTCAGTGTCTCTCTCTTTCTCTATCAATTTATTTTACATGGTATCAGAGCGAGGTTAAGAACCTGGTCATTCTGCTTCACCGGCGGGCGGCAGCCTCGCTTTGACCGCCCGCCGGACCTCTACACATACCTTCACTCCGCTGCCACAAATTCCATAACTGAACTGAACTCTTGTCTCTCCGAGGGAATAATCAACACCTTCACACCAGTGAGGCCGTGGATATGGATCGCAGGTCCGTCTATGTTGTAGCTTTATCTGCATTGTCGTCGCCGGCGTTGGAGGTCATTCTCCGGCCACACCTCCTGTGGTGTCCGCTCCGCCAGTTTCAGCTCCACCACCATCCACTCTCTCTCTCGGCAACTCTCTCTTCCGGAAAACACACAGACAACGTCACTCACCTTGACTGCTTCATGTTCTTCTTAGGCCGAACCTTCCACCAACAAAAAGCTTCTCCTCCTCCGGCTGTTCCATCACCACCACAACCTGCTGCTCCACCTGTTCAGGTTCCGGCCCCAGCTCCGCGCAAGAAGCCAAAATCTCCGTCGCCGTCGCCGTTGGCAGTGAGTCCTCCGGCACCGCCGACGGCAGCACCAGCGCCGACCAACGGGGGGGCTACATCGCCTTCACCGTCTGCTCCCGAAACAAGTGGGGTGGAGAAGTCGTGGTCCATGGAGAAGATGGTCAGGAGCTTGATCTTTGGATGGTCTCTCCTTTGTTTGCTATTCTGAGATGACAACTTTTTCTCATCAGCTACCCACATGATCCCACTAACCAACACTTTAAACTCTCTCTCCACTCAAGCACACCCACTATTTTGCCAACTTTCTTTCTTTTCTATATATATATATATTATATCTTTTTCTTGATTGATATTACCCACACATTCCACGACAACATTTTCCACCCACCATCTCTCTCCACTCAAGCACACCCACTATTTTGCCAACTTTCTTTCTTTTCTATATATATATATTATATCTCTTTTTCTTTATTGATATATTACCCACACATTCCACGACAACATTTTCCACTCACCATACAACCTTTGCATCTCCCCTTTTCTTTTCTTTTTTATTTTTTTTTATTACTTTAACCGTGGAAGCTCTTTCTTCTCCATGGCTCCTCTTTTTTTTTTTTTTTTCCTTTTTTTTTTTTTCATTTTTATTTTTTTAAAAAAAAAAAAAAAAAAAAAAAACCCAACGACGCAGATGAACTGCCAACCAACCTCAACCTCATTTTATTCATGTCGGGGCTCACCTCGATCACCATACAAAAAATAAATAAATAAATAAAAATAAAAATAAAAACCACACCAAAACAAACATCCATTCTTATAATATATTTCCACTACCCCTAATTTTATTTTATTTTATTTTTTATTTTTTCTATCTTCATTTTTCCATCAATATTTCATTATTATACAACTCGTTAGTGAGCATCACCCTTTTTCCCTTATCTTATTATTATTATTATTTTTTATATTCCACCCCCCCCCAAAAAAAAACCCCCCAAAAAAAAAAAAAACAAACAAACAAACAAACAAACAAAAAAAATTGATCCCCTTTATCAATCTCTTTATTTCAACCTCAAATAGGTTTTCTCTCTTCACACCTATTTGAGTTTGAGGGGGGGTTCTACATATATCATGGTGAGCATGATTACATACTATGTGAACCACCCAAGCTGATGAGCATGGTTATATACCATGGGAACCACCCAAGCCACCCCATGGCGCACTCCCTAAGTCGCCCCCTTGGTGCACCACCAAAATCTTTTACATCGGTCCGGCATGACCCCGTAAACTGTCCCGACATTGATTCCGGTTAGCTTCTACAACGGTCCGACATGACCCCATAAACTGTCCCGACATTGATTCCGGTCAGCTTTTACATCGGTCCGGCATGACCCCGTAAACTGTCCCGACATTGATTCAGACATTCTCTGCTACAACGGTCCGACACGACCATACAGTGTCTTCTCCAACGGTGTGACACGACCATACTGTGTCTTCAACAACGATTTGACACAACCATACAGTGTCTCCTATCCTATTTTATTTTATTTATCAGTTTACTTTCCTGTTTTGTTACTCTCTCCAAACTCAAGTTGGTTAGTACTTATCCTCCTTGAGTTTGACGGGGACTGTTAATATATTATTATATGTTAGTATATCAGTAAGTATGTTTAGTATATCATTATGTTTAGATTTAATAATTATATGTAGCTTTAATAATTATATGTCCCCCCTTGCTTTATACTTTCGGTGCCAATTGGCATCTTATGATTGCCTCTCCTCTCTGTAAAGAGAGTGTACATTTCTTTGTAAACATACACAACATAATAGAAACAATTCAGTGTCTCTCTCTTTCTCTATCAATTTATTTTACAGAGATAAACCAAGGGAATCACAAAGCATTTCCCGTCAGCTGTGTACACAGCAAAGTGACCCTTATCAACTGTTGATGTGTTGCAACTCTCTGCATCATCAACACCTCTGGTTATTCTTGAGAAGGTGATTCTTTTTCGACTGATAGAAGCCAGTTTTCGCCACTTCCTCGCCATTTTGATGAGCTTCTTAGAACTGATCATGTTTGTTATTTTCTTGTGAAATACTAGAAAGGGTTGATTTTGTTACTAAAGAGAAAAAAGGGGATTTAGTTCTTAGAATACTGAAAGATTGTATCTGTGCTTGATTGGAAGAGAAGGAAGTGGGCTGGTTATATATTCAAAAGCCAGTGATACTGCCTTAAATGTACCTAACTTTGTATTAAAATTTAAGGGAAGCAAAACCATGTGATAGTTGGATGAGAAAGGAAATTTGGGTGGCGGGTATGTTTGGATGTGCTTGGCAATAAACGTATCAAAGTGGAACATACCCCAAATTTCACTGTCAAGTGGTTTGACAACATATTGGGTCCCAAACTGGAGGTGTCTTCTGGTGTCTTGTGAACACAAGTGACTCTACGAACCACATAGACCAATGATACTCCTAAAGCCACAAAAATCTGAATTTTCTGATTTAACTGTTTCACTAAAACATAGAAGAGATTGAAAATTTGGTGGTAAAATTTACTACTCTGTACTTGAAATGTAGGTCCAAGTACTGCCAGACAAGAAGCGTGCTGCATATCTATGCGTGGTTGTAGAGAGAGTAGCTTAACATCGGACAGCTGGTAATCTGCTCTTTTGTGAGGATAGATGAGTGGTGTCCCCCATGGTTGTCTATAGTACTGGTGAATGGTATGCTCTCATTTATTTACAGGAAAAAAATTTTGAGGTGAGAGAAAATCATACATGACTACTTTGAGATTGTTGAAGTGTTGTAAAAGTTTCAAGGCCATTTTATAGGTCATTACCCAGTACTAGTCCAAAATTGAGGGTGTTGTGATGGGTAGATAGGATGATCACATATGACTGCATTGAATTTGTTAGTGTATTTGTAAAATTTTATAGGCCGTTACATAGATCATTCCAGGTGTTGCTCCCAAATCAAGGGTATTGTAATGCATAAAATGGATACTGATCTCACCTTTGACATCACATGCACACATTGGATTCTCTCACACTCGAACCAACACCCTTAGGCATATCACAGCATGAAAATTTAATATTACACCAAGCAATCACCTCTTTTTACAATTTTTTTTTTTTAGTTTAAAAAAAGTCACATGGGATGTGGCTGCAACAATTCTTCTAGATTCAACAAGAGATGTGATGTGTAGGATTAGCTTGCAGGAAGAAAAATGTATTGATTTTCAGAGACCTGAATTTGAATAAAATGTCATTTAGTTGATAACGGGGAAGTTATAGAAGGATAATTCATGGAGTCGAACCAAATATACTGACCAAAATGGAGGCAGTTTTTTTAGATTACTGAACTAGCCAGGGATATCTACTGTCCCAGTAAATTCTGTGTGATGCTATCATCAAACACATTTATCACATACACTAATAAGCAAAATTTTCAGTAGAACAAGAGACAAATATGAAGAAATTTCAATGGAGATTTCATTAATTTGTTGTATAAAGCTAAAGACATTGTTTCTCATTCACCCAACAAAAACCTAATTCCATCAGAAGCTGGAGACTAGTAATTGTTGATCGGTTAGTCGCTCTTGGAGATAGGAGGATGATAAGCAACAACCACTAGTTATGGTTGTGAGCAGCTCTCTCTCCAGATCCTTAGCTGCATGCCTTCTTATCAAAGAGACTGCATAGTCCATGAAGACTGCGTCACATGGTAATGTGATAGGCCCATCCCTTGGAAGTCCATACTCTTAGCCATTTTCAAGAGTACTCTGAAGATGTCATTGTTGAGATAAACCAAGGGAATCACAAAGCATTTCTGGTCAGCTGTGTACACAGCAAAGTGACCCTTATCAACTGTAGATGTGTTGCAACTCTCTGCATTATCAACACCTCCGGTTGTTCTTGAGAAGGTGATTCTTTTTCGACTGATAGAAGCCAGTTTTCACCACTTCCTCGCCATTTTGATGAGCTTCTTAGAATTGATCATGTTCGTGTTAATGGTAGACTAGAAAGGCAATATATGATTCTTGAAAGACTGAAATGCTGTATCTGTGTGCTTGGTGGAAAGCAAAGGAAATGGGCGGGTTATATATGTTCAAGATTTAGTGACACTGCTTTAAATAAATGGGAAGCGAAGCCATGTGATAGTTGGGTGAGAAGGCTGGTTTGGGTGGTGTGGTTTGAATGTTTGGTTATGTTTGGCAATCAACACATCAAGGTGGAACAGAGCACGGAATCATTTTATTTCACTCTGTCAAGTGGTTTAACAACATGTTGGGTCCAAAAAGAGTGGTGTCTCGTAATCAACAAATGGTTCTGTGAACTACAACGCTGCTAAGATCCGTGAATTTACTAAGAATTATTTCATTATGTGTGAATTTGCTGGTATATGTAAAAATGGTTAATAACTAAATGTGGCTTACGTGTGTTGGGATTGTTGGGCTGCAAAACCATGTGCTTCTTTTTCTTTTTCTTTTTTTTAAAAAAAAAAAAAAAAAAACTAATGTGCTTTGTTGCTTGTCAATTAGAATGTCTGTCTGGGAGGTTTGCGCGTTTGTTTCTACTTGGAAATCAGCACTAGGACAAGTGTGGCTGAGAATCACATATCCTCTTCTGCTAAGTGAATTAGAGTCAAATTTGGACCAGTCAAATAAGCTCCTAGCTATTAAACCACAAATTTCATCTAAAATTTCAAAATTATGATGTACTTACATATTGGCACCACTATGATTTTAGGACAGCTTATGTGTACTAGAGATAGTGATCCCTAAGAGAACTTCAGAGGGAACTTTAGAGGGTTAGGCATGTTTTTTTTCACCCCCCTCTTCTGTTCAGCTTTCTATCACTTTCTTGATATTTCAAGTAAATTATCTGATAATTCAATTCTTACATTCTTCTTACTGGGTAAGATGGGAAACAAGGGATCAGTCTGTAATCAAAGGTACTTGTACACACAAATGATTTTTTAATTATTTTTTCTAAATTGAGTTTGTGCATTAGTCAGTATGTGTACGACTAATCGTACCAGATGCCACTGGGCTTCAAGTGCTTGTCTGATCCATATAAAAAGTCTCTACTGTCTCAATGATCCATTGTCCTTCAAATGTTTCTGGTCAATTAAAAACTAGTACTGATTAAATTTTGTTGCTTGATTTTTCACATACTACTTGATTTGGACAGAGATTATATTAGTTCATAATAAAAATTATTTTGGTTGTCAAAGTGATTAACTTGGTTTTTTCTGACCATAATCTACAAATTTGTATGTCACTATCATCCACAGGACAATATTTATCATTCCAAAGCCAGAAACTCAACTTCACTACAATAAAAAATTGGAAATGAAGGTAAACCCTCGGAATTTTTCATAATATGTATCAAGTTAGAACTGCACTGATCATTTACACCACTAAACTTCAATTAAATCAATACACGAGTAATTGCTGGTTTGTCTTTCCATGGTGGAAAAATGACAATGATGATGAGCAGAGACAGGTAGCAACTGACATAAGTAAAGCCTTCTCTAGATCTTTAACTACACCACGCTGAATCAATGAGACTATGTACTCCATGAAAATCGAATCACATGGCAATGTAATTGGTCCATCCCTCGGGAGCCCAAACTCTGCTTCGGACAACTTGAAGAGCTCTCTCGTGATCTCCTTGTTAAGATACGCTAGGGGAATCATGAAATGCTTTTGATCAGCGCTGTAGACAACAAAATGTCCCTTATCTGCCACGAATGAAGTACTACAGTTACTTGCAGTGTCCACATTTCTGTGAAATGAAATTCTCTTTGTCCTCATGGCAGCAAACTTCTGCCACTTCCTTGCCATCTTGACGAGTTTCTTAGCACTGATCATGTTGTCGTGTTTAGAAATAAGAGGGAATAAAGATTTCAAGAGACTGAAATGCTAAAGATGCAATGATTTGAATGCAAATGGAAATGGTTTATATAAAAGAATGCCTGAGACAGTAGTGAAATTGTAGCTTTAAAATTGTTAGAATTTGTGGGTTGCAAGACCATGTTCTGGTTGGGTCGCAAGGGACAGCTGAGGGTGGACATGTTTGGCTACTTGGTTTTGTTCTGAAATCAAAACAAACATATGTGGTTTATCTCTTCAAATATGATTAGTGGTGTTTATAAGTTTGTACATGGTTATATCATCAAATATGCTAAGTGGTTTGGAAACATCACGGCCCAATCAGTTTTGCTTTCAGTTCATGTAATTCAGAAAACCATACGTGGGTACAGTGGTACACGGAAACAATGACAAGTGCTTAAGGCACAGGAATGGTGATCATTGATAACACGTTTGGTCAGACAAGCAGGCAAGGTTTCCGAATCTCTGTTGAGGGGTCCAATTGAGTCGCTTCCAATAAAAATGCGACAAAAGAGGCATATTTTCAATTTTTGAATTGAGTCGCTTCCAATAAAAATGCGACAAAAGAGGCATATTTTCAATTTTTGCTTTCCAAAACTTGTCAGCAATGATAGTTTACTGTATGTGATTGACATAAGAGGATATAATTGATAACACGTTTGGTCAGACAAGCGGGCAAGGTTTCCGAATCTCTGTTGAGGGGTCCAATTGAGTCGCTTCCAATAAAAATGCGACAAAAGAGGCATATTTTCAATTTTTGCTTTCCAAAACTTGTCAGCAATGATAGTTTACTGTAATAGCTTCGGGGTTTTTAATGTGATTGACATAAGAGGATATATGTGAGTTGCATATGATTTGTACTAGTTATTTGCTGCAGCTATATTTGATGAATGAATTCTTAAGTGGTTCAGGAATATATCAAAAATCTTTTACCAGCGAGATTGTAACATAGGAAATACAATGTAAATAATCTGATGAGGTTCCAAAAATGATCGTTATATTGAAATCTCAAAGGGTGATTTAAATGACTGGCTCAATTTAGAGCCTTCATGACATGTTTCAGGACCTTTATGACAAAACCAGAAAATAAAATATCCCAATGACTTGAATTCAGATGATTTCTGTTAGGTTTTATTTCTTGGCAAACCCGTTTGACAAAACTCCTTTCAGTTGTATTTATTTTCGCACTTTTATTTCAGTGAGGCTATGAGTGTTTAGATGCGAATCCAACCCGAATTGTGCTTTTCAGAGAAGGTACTACCTATGTTGACAAATCCGGAGACAAAACATTGTGTTGATTCAATTGTTGTTATATTCTACTTAAAATTGATACATAATCACAAATCAACATCTAGGGGATTTCTAGATTTTTTAATTTCAAGAACAAATGTTACAACAAGTTCTTAATAACAAAAATTGTTCTTTGTTGATCTGCGGTTCGAACTTCAGAGAGTTTTTTTTAAGTCATGAAACAGTGCTACATGATATCCTGTGCCCAACCATGATAGTTACCGAAGTTGTTTCACTCAATCCATAATATACAATTGGAAAGAACCAAACATGGATAAATTTTTTGGATTTTCAAAGTATGTATCACCCTCTATTAAGTTGTGATTGTTACATACAAAATTTGCACAATAACATTACAAATTAACCACAAAACAAACATCTACTTGTTTGCTCGTTTCTTGTTGAGTACAAAAGGTAAGGTGCCTCTACAGCCAACAACCGAAAAGACCAAGGCTTGCTCTAAATCTTGAGCTAAACCTCTCCGGACAAGTGAGAGTATGTAATCTATAAAAACTGCATCACATGGCAACATAATAGGCCCATCTCTGGGCTGTCCAAATTCTTCTTCAGACATCTTGAAGAGCTCTCTGAAGACGGTGTTGTGGAGATACGCCAAAGGAATCACAAACCGCATTTGATCAGTGTTGTATACAACAAAATGTCCTTTATTACACCTATCGGTGTCCATAGTAGTCCCTTTGGTTCTTGATGAAGAAATTGTTTTCCTTCCAATGGACACCGCTATCTTCTGCCATGTCCTTGCCATTTTCGTGAGCTTCTTGGGGCTTATGATCACACTGTTTTTCCTTTTTTTTTTTTTTTTTTTTTTGGGGGGGGGGGGTGGGTGGGTGGTTTAGGAGGAGATTTGGGTCTTAAAACACTGAAAAGGTGTTGATGTGTTGAGTGGTATGAACTATTTATAAAGAAGGCTTTGAGAAACAATGGTTGCCGTTGTTTTTATTTTTTTACTTTTATGTTGGGGCTCATGCCTTGTCAAACTATGTGATTAGTTGTACTAAAAATGTGTACGGTTGCAGAATAAATCACACACACAAAAGCAGCATGAATCAATCACATATAAAAAAAAGCACCACACAAATTTAGGTGGTCCAACAAGATTATTTTATTAAACGAAAATAAGAGAGGAATACAATGCAATTGTTTGGATAGACAACAATAATATATGTGTTAGGGTTTATATTAACAAATTATTAGTAATACCCTTAATAAAATTCATCTTCGGAGTACAGTCTCCGTCCAACTCCTGCCAACTCGCCGCAGAGTTGGATCCAGTACTAATTAGGCTCCACAAACCTAACAATTGGCATGTTCATTAAGTCTTGTGCAATTAACTCAAAAAGAGGAAGGATAAGAAAAGGTAAATTGTTAGATGAAAAGGATAGAGGGGAGAAACTAACATGTACCAATTATCTTTAGAGGGCAGCCACAGAAACATGCCCCTACCCATTGGGAGCCGAACAAGAGGGGCTAAATGGACCTAACAATGCGAGGAAAAGCACACAGGTGATTCACAACATGAGGAATTTACATTCTTTTTCAAGATACTTAAGCCATAGACTAACTTAAGATATATCAGTAAAGAGTCTCACCCCGAGCATTGTCCTAGAGACTCGAGTCCATGTCCTACCAAATTATATGGAAATCTTCATAAAGTGGTTTATTACTAATTTATGGCCCAAAGGACAATGCTGAGTTTGCTATGTAGGGTACTTCAGAAACACCATTTGATGAAGCTTTTATTGTGTGTTGGGATTCATCGACAACAAACCATGTGAATTTAATTATATCTGTTGGCTTTTTGGCTTTCGAAGATTATTATGTAATTGCGAGTGTGCTAGCAAGGATCAATCAGTCCTTATAGAAAAATAATTGCTAACAAATTATCAGATGATTGTGTTTTAGTTCTTTCAGCCTCAATGAAGAGAACTTTTACTGGTGGCTTGATTTAGGAGAATTAAGCAAAATAACAGTTAAATGAGGAACAATTAAAGCATTTCATTGAAATGAAAAACTTACAATGATCCAAACTCAACCTCGTTGAGGTTTACAACAATAATCTACTTGAAACTACTCCTATCGAACGAAGTTCAGTGCAGGAATTTTAAAGTGCAGGAATGTAAAGAACAAGAAATGTAAAACTGGAAAAGAAATAAAGTAGAATAAGACTAGTTTTTTGGATTTAAGTCTAGGATTTTTTTCTAGGGCCTTCTCTGCTATTTATACTTCTCAAGGATGACCATCGAACTGCATTTCGAACCGTCGAACTGCTCATCCATGATCGTTGATCATGTTGCCTTATAATTAGCTCCACTACGCCATCACTTGCAGTTAGGCTTTCCTCCTAAATTTGAATTTAAATGTGAGTAATCGTTGAAGCCACATCACCTTGCATCTCTTTGTTGATCCACTGCTACCCAGATCTTGTAATAACCAATAATAACTACCACGTGTACAATTAGGATCGAAGACTTAAATAATCTTCCAGTATTACCCTTATTCTGCCACGCATCGAACTGTAATTGGCTTGTACAAAATATGTGGCCAATATTACTCCCCGCACTAATATATCCAATACTTGGTGATATTAGTGGATCAAGGTCTTTTATCTACGTCTTAGAACGTTCATGGGCTTTGCATTCTCCCAGGAATGTAACTGTCATTCATCATCTGCATTAAACTCTCCTTCAATCTTTTGAACACCCCCCCACCTTAGTATTCGAACAGACTAATACATTTTTTATGGCCGAATCAATTTTCTCCTCCATTGATCAAGCACACAAAGAGTCATATGATGATGCTGTTCCTCCTCGAAAGAACCTCCATGCATTAATTAGTCACCTTTACCCACCTTTCTACATTCAGGTCATGGATGCCTTTGCAAATTATCAACCCTTGGACTTCGAACACATTGCCCTTGATCCTTTGATTCAGAAACTTACAAATATGGACATGGGAAGTTCTTCTTCTGACTCACCCTTGGACTACGAACAAACTGCTCTCAATCCTTTGATTCAGAAAGTCACAAATATGGACATGAGAAGTTCTTCTTCACAACTCTCTGTATGAGATAAGGCTGCAGCTTCTTCCTCTTCTAGGGCTTCTAACTGGACAAGCTGGTCAAAACTTGAGGCCTGTGATTTAAGGGAGCGAATCAACCATCATTTTGTTGAGTTCAGTGACCCTCAAGCACACAAAGAGTCATATGATGATGCTGTTCCTCCTCGAAAGAACCTCCATGCATTAATTAGTCACCTTTACCCACCTTTCTACATTCAGGTCATGGATGCCTTTGCAAATTATCAACCCTTGGACTTCGAACACATTGCCCTTGATCCTTTGATTCAGAAACTTACAAATATGGACATGGGAAGTTCTTCTTCTGACTCACCCTTGGACTACGAACAAACTGCTCTCAATCCTTTGATTCAGAAAGTCACAAATATGGACATGAGAAGTTCTTCTTCACAACTCTCTGTATGGGATAAGGCTGCAGCTTCTTCCTCTTCTAGGGCTTCTAACTGGACAAGCTGGTCAAAACCTGAGGCCTGTGATTTAAGGGAGCGAATCAACCATCATTTTGTTGAGTTCACTGACCCTTTAGAGTTCCCTTCCTATGCGCAAAGCTCAGTGGTCTATCCCTATGGGCCCATTGACCATCGACGCAGTTTGGAGGAGAATCTGCTTGTAGCATGGTACACATCCTCCATGCCTACAAAGATAGTGCACGCTGCCCGACGCCCAGAAGAGACACTAAGGTACAATCCATCGTTCTTAGCCCAGAAGGCGAAGCTTTGCTCTTCTTACTGGCTCGATTATATTAATGTCTTTGTTCCTTCTGCCCTTGCTCCATCTCCTGAAATAGAAGCATCCACACCTTCTCCTCCGCCAAATCCTTGCTGGACAGAAAGACTGAGGCTTGCCCTCTCTGCAAATAAGGTCTTTCCACCTTACAAGCCTCCACCTTCCCCTACTCCAGCTGAACGGAAGCAAGCACAACTTCTGCTCGCGGCCTTCTCTCACTTGCCCTTCAATGTTCTTGAGGATGAAGTCCCTCTCAAGAACCTTCGATGGGCCTGTGACATTCTGACTCGAGGTCACATTCTAAACCCCCTCGCCCAAGCAGAGCTTCACATGTTTTTGGACCAACTTCTATTGCCTCTTCACTGGCATCGAACTTCTGCAGCCACCACTCAATCTTTGGACCAACTCTCATCTCTTCGAGTTCATGCCCTGTACGATGCAGAGAACTTCATTGAAGAATTTGATGACTTCAAGAATAAAGATTCTGCGTATTGGGATGACTTGAATATAGACGAGTTGGAACAAGGATTAAGGGAAGCAGCATTCGAAATAAAGGCTGAAGAGCCCTTCTATGAAGTGAGAGCACATCAACTCATGCAGCCAACCCTAGAAGAAATAGATGATAGAATAAAAAAAAGAACATAAATTCATTGATCACAGTTGGACAAAATTTCATGATCTTGTTATTTATTCTATTCCCTACTTTTATGAGCTTGAATTTGTACCCAAAGAGGGCCATTCAATGTAATTGCTTTTGCTTTAATACAACTAAGACTTTTTCTTTGTTTGGCATTGTCTGATCTTGTCTCTGTCTGTCTTTAAAAGCAAATCTAGGGCTTCGAACTGAATAATCTTATCCTTCGAATTTGGACTCAATCGTTTTAAATGAAAACACTACAAAATACCAATATGAACTTTTCCAATTTATGGAATAAAGTTGACAGTTTTTGCTGATTTTCATTTAGAATCAGTGCTTCGAATTTAACAATTCTTACCCTTAAAGCTTGTTTTAATCATAACCAACATATGGTCATGGTTAGTATGATCAATCAGTTTTAAATTGACCATTTTTGCTTCGAACAAACAGTCCATACTTTCAAAAATATGGAAGTTCCTTTTGAAGACTGCACTGTTTTAGTTCGAAAAACAATCTCTTTCTGTATATATATAAACCAACTATTGGTTTTGATGTTTCGAATACCAATTCCCATCCTTAAGGGGTCTCAAGTTTTGCTTCAAAGGACATTACTTTTGTTAAGAAACCTAAAACAGGTCTTTAATCCCTTTTAAGTAAACAAATACTTGATTATTCTTACATCTTTAGGTATGGAATATGCTTCGAAGCCGACTTTTCTGTTTCAAAGCCGTTGTTATTTGACTTTTGGCGCCCAAAATCTGGTTTTGAAGCAAAATATTTTACTTCGAAGCTGGCATCAACATCTGGGCTGTGTTTTCCCTCCAAAAGTATCAATATTGAAGGAAACTCTTCGCATTCGTACTTTTAGTACTCAACGAATTACGCGATATATCTTTCAGACACAAAGGGTATGTTTGGTTTGAATTTGGGAGATGAGTTTTAGAGATAAAAAGTACGAAAAGTTGTTTGGTTTGGTTTTTTTCAAAAGATGTTTTGGAAAATTGTTTTGAGAGAAAGTTTTGAAAAAAGTGATTGATTTGATGTGTATGAGAGAGAGATTTGTTTGGAAAACTTGTAAACCAAACAAGTTTTGAGAAATTTTTTTAGAAAAATTTGTTTGGTTTGATTACTTTTGAAAACTTATTTGTAGAGAATTTTTCCCAAAAATTTTTGGGAAACACAAACCAAACAAGGCCAAAGGCTTTTAAAACCCTTTTATTTCGTGCTCTGAAATCACTCGCTCGCTCAAAACACAAACCCTTCCCCTCTGTTAACCCTCTCTTCCTCACTACTTGCCACCAATGGATTCTTCTTCATTGAAAGTGCCAGTCGTAGAGCGTGCAAGTCCATCTGT